TGCCTCCAGCCAGCTCAGAGCAGGGACCTCCGGCTGCCCTCCCTGTTCCCATCACCCTCCGTCCCTGCCCCAGAAAATTCCCTGCTACTCTCCCTGCCCCGAAACACCCCCGGCCCCAGCCTGCCCCACGGACACCACCCTGCAGCGCTCCCGCCCCCGGCCCCAGCCTCTCCCAGCGCTCTGCAGTCCCTGTCCCAGCAAACAACTCCCCCGCCACCCTCTCCCGACACCGCGTCCCGCACTCTGCCAGTAAAACCTGTCCCTGCTCCCGGTCCCTCCCCGGGGCCCTCCTCCCCCGCCGGTGTCCTGCGGGTGCAGAGGTGCGGGATGTCCCACGAGGCTCCCGTGGGTGGCGGTGGGTGTTCGATGGCTCCCGTGGGTGCTCAGGGGCTCCCGTGGGTGTTCACACCGGTGCCAGCGCGTTCCCTGACGCAGCCGGGAGGGAAAGCCGCGGAGCAGCGGCTGCGGCTGCCAGGGAGCGCTGCCCGCGTCGGGGAGAGATCGTGGCCCCAGGGAGGGAGGCAGGTGCCAACACCTCTGCCAGGAATCTCCCTGCCTCCGTCGGCACAGTCGGTTACTCAAAGTTTCCGATGACGAAAGGGAGCGGAGCCCTTCCCTTGCTGCGCGCCCACCGCCTCCCCTGCCCGGGGAGCAGCGCCTTTGCTTCCCCAGCCGCTTTCACCCTTCCCCAGGTGTGGGGTGGCAGTGCCCACATTCCCTCTGCCCTGCGGTGCCGGTGTCACGTTCGGTTCTGGGAACGTGCGGGGACCTGCCTGGGACTCTCCGGATGCTGGAACCACTCCGGTGCCGGTGTCCGCCGCCGCCCCAGCTCCGGGACCTGCAGGGACCTGCCCGGGGCTCTCCAGACACCGGAGCCACCCCGGCGCTGCTGTGCCCGCGTCACGGCAGGGCTGAGCTCAGCTCCTTCCGAGGGCAGTGCAGCCGGTGCCATCCAGCTCGGCTTGGCCCTGCCAGGATGGGGCTGCGGGGCCAGCCACACTTCCCGGGATCAGCCACAGCCTTCCCGGGGCCGGCCGCAGCCTTCCCGGGCCGGGAGCGGGCTGCACAGCCCCTGGGAGGTGCTGCGGGCCCCGCAGGTGTTTTGCATGAGCCTGGCACCGGGATCCCCGCGGGGGCGTGGGCATTGGGGTGAGCCCGTGGGGCAGAGGGGAGAGCGCTGCGAGCCGGGGAACAGCCCCTGGCTGGCAGCACGCAGCGCTGTACCGGCTCTCAGCCCGCAGCTGCACCCCTCGCCCTCCCCTGGCCCCCAGGCAGGGACCCCCGAGCCCTCCTGCCCTTCCCGGGGGCCGGGGCAGCCCCGGGGCCGTCCGCAGCTCCGAGCGCCGGGGCCGGGCGCGATCGCGATCCTGATCCTGCAAACACAAACACAAACAGCGCTGCCTGGGCAGGTCCGAGCCGCGCTGACATCACCGGGCGGAGGGAGCCGGCTCCTGCCGGGACCTCTCCCCGGGCCGGGCAGCGAGCCCGGAGCGCGGCTGGGGCACAGCAGCACGCGTAGGGAGAAGGTGCTGGAGTGTGACTATGTTCACAGGGGTCTGAGGATGAGGGGAGAGACGAGGATCTGACTCCATGTTTCAGAACGCTGATTTATTATTTTATTATATATATATATTAAAACTATACTAAAAGAATAGAAGAAAGGATTTCATCAGAAGGCTGGCTAAGAATAGAAAAAGAAAGAATGATAACAAAGGTTTGTGGCTCAGACTCTCTGTCTGAGCCAGCTGACTGTGATTGGCCATTAATTAGAAACAACCACATGAGTCCAATCACAGATGCACCTGTTGCATTCCACAGCAGCAGATAATCAATGTTTGCATTTTTTTCCTGAGGCCTCTCAGCTTCTCAGGAGGAACAATCCTAAGGAAAGGATTTTTCATGAAAGATGTCTGCGATGCTGGTGTGCCCGAGGGGCACAGAGGGAGCTGGGGGACCTGTGGGGACAAAGCTGGGTGCATGGAGCCCCTTTGGGAGGCTGCTCCTGGGCTGGACACAGCACCTTCAGCACCTTCAGGGTGCTTTTCACTCCCAGCTCTTGTTTGCACGGGTGGAGCCGGGAGGAGATGGGTCTGCGAGCTCCAGGCAAAGGGGCAGAGCTGTTCCGCGCTGTCCCCACTCGATGTGGCCTCTGCGGGAGGCACAGAACCCTGGTGTTCTGTGTGGGGACACCTCAGGGCAGCCCTGCCCTGGATGTGTCCTTGCAGACATCCTGGTGACCCCGGTCACTGGGCAGCACCGTGACCCCTGCCCGGCTGCAGGAGCCGCTCCTTGGTGCCCGCAGCACTCGGTGCTCGGCCCGTGGGACCAGTCCAGCCCTGACAGACCCCGCTGGGCACCGGGGGATGGAGTTCCGGGGGGAATCATCCATCCCACCTGCGCTCCCGCTCCTCCAGCCCGCTCCAGCCCCGCTGGCCGTGCTCCCGCCGGCTGCTGGCACAGGGAATGCGGGCAGGGAGGCTCCCGAGCCGCCGAGTGACCGCAGGGGCCGGGGCTGACCGCAGCTCCCAGCGCTCGGCACGCCCCAGCTCCGCTCCTACCTCCCGGTGCTCCCGGCGCCGCGGCTGGGGCAGATCCAGCGGTCAGGATCCAGTTATTGAGGTTATTAGGAATGCCTCTGCACGAATTCAGGTGCAAACGAATCCCTGTGCCAAAGTCAATAGCATGGGTTTTATCTGACTGTAAACATGTGAGAGAGAGAGGGGAGAAAGAAATGGAAAATAGAAAAGAGAGTGGCAGAGGTGGAACAAAGAAAAATAAAGAAAATATAGAATGAAATATAAAATAAAGAAAATAGAGAATCAAATACAGAATAAAGAAAATATAGAATAAAATATTTTATATTTAGAATAAAAAAGAAAAAGATATTTTCTTAAAAAAGAAAATATCACCATCCCTGGAGCCCCCTGATGCTCTGCTGATCCCCTGTCCAGCTGGTTTGGTGGTGAAGGTCCCCCTGGAAAGCTCAGGTGGGTTAATACAGGCCAGGTAGGAACCCCCCTGGGGGTGCCATTGTCCCTTACAACACTCCGAGTGTGTCACCTGTGCTGCAAGGCTTCAGGAGTGACTCTGGGGGCACCTGGGGGTCTCTGATAGATGAAGGCGCCCCTCAGTTGCCTCTGGGCTCACTGCCCCGAGCAGAGGTGACAACACACCGAAACACCCTGCCCCAGCACAGGGCTCTGTGGGGCTGAATCTGTGCAAAACTGATCCCATCACAGGCAGCCTCACCCACCCCAAAGTCAGCCAGAGATGATTCTCAGCATGGCTGCTGGGCTTGGCTCGCATTCTTTTCCCTGTTTACTTGTTTACTTCTCCCCTGGGGAATGGGTTTCCCTTTATCTAATCTCGGCAGTTTGGCTTTCAGTCCGAAGTTCCAGCCAGGCATTCCTGAGGGAGGGGTGGGCTTCGTGAGCGAAACTTTACAGCAGCACGAACTGCTCCAGTCTCTGATACAGGGCCATCCCACAGCTTTGTCAGCTCTTGAGGGATTTGGATTGGGTGCAATCTCACCCTGAGGCAGCCCTGGAGGCAGCCCTAGTGGCCCCTGCTCGCTGAGACGGAGCCTCTGCCTTCCTGGCATTGCTTGGGCAGGGTGAGAAGGGGGGGACAGTGGAAGGATGGGGAGGCTCGTACAGCAGCCCTGTGGGAGCCCATGGAACTGCATGCCAGCACCCCCATGAGTCACAGAATCATGGAGGGGTTTGGGTGGAGAGGGACCTCAGAGCCCATCCAGTCCCACCCTGTCCCGTGAGCAGGGACACCTCCCATGGGATCAGGCTGCTCCAAGCCTTGTCCAGCCCGGCCTGGAAAACTTCCAGGGATCCAGGGGCAGCCACAGCTGCTCTGGGCTCTCTGTGCCAGGGCCAAACCACCCTCACAGGGAAGGATTTCTTCCCAAAATCCCCTATCCCATCCAGCCCTGCCTTCTGGCAGTGGGGAGACATTCCCCTTGTCCTGTCCCTCTGGCCTCTTGTCCCATATCCTTTCCCAGCTCACTTGGAGTCCCTTTAGGCCTTAGAAGGGGCTCTGAGCTCTCCCTGGAGCCTTCTCTTCTCCAGGTGAGCACTCCCAGCTCTGCCAGCCTGGCTCCAGCCCTGCAGCAGCTCCGTAGCTCCTCTGGGCTCTCCCCAGCAGCTCCAGGTGCTGCTGCTGTGTCCCCAGGGCTGGGGCAGCTCTGCAGGTGAGGTCTCACCTGGGCACAGGGGCAGAGGGGCAGAATCCCCCCTCTCCTTTCCTGCTGCCCAGGGGTTTTGGGGTTCCAGTGCACGTGGCAGGGGCATGCGGAGTTCTCACCCACTGACTCCCTGAGTTTTGCCGCATCCCTCAGGGTGGCACACCAGGTTTGGACATGCCCAGCCTTTGGCTGTCACTTCCTCCTGCCTGAGGGTGTTTATGTTTCCGATTTCCCGGTATTTAACATGCAAACCATGAAGAAGTTTGTCACAGACATCTTTTATGAAAAATCCTTTTCTTAGGATTTTTCCTCCTGAGAAGCTGAGAGGCTTCAAGGACAAAATGTAAACATTGATTATCTGCTGCTGTGGAATGTAACAAGTAGATCTTTGATTAGCCCATGTTGGGTTGTTTCTAATTAATGGCCAATCACAGTCAGCTGGCTCGGACTCTCTGTCCGAGCCACAAGCCTTTGTTATCATTCTTCTTTCCCTATTCTTAGCTGGCCTTCTGATGAAATCCTTTCTTCTATTCTTTTAGTTTAGTTTTAATATAATATATATCATAAAATAATAAATCAGCCTTCTGAAACACAGAGTCAGATCCTCATCACTTCCCTCCTCCTTAGACCCCTGTAAACACAGTCACAGAAGTTGATTTCTCACCAAGCTTTCCCTCTCTCTGCAGAGTCCTGGGAGCTGCGGGAGGCGTGCAGCAGCAGCAGGATGGAGAGCAAGCCAGCAGTGAATGGCCGGGCTGTCCCTGGTGAAGTTGTGTCAGGGACAAACCACTTGTGCCAGGACGTGATGCCGCGCAAGCAGCAAAAGGCAGCTGGCAGGGACGTGGGGCCGGATGCTCCTGGGGACCCCTCGGAGACAGCTGGCAGCATTGCAGGCGTGTATGTAGAGGCTTCAAAGAGGATAATGAGCTTCTATGAGGCCACCAGAGAGCATCTGCTGAGCCTGGATTCGGCCCTGAGCCTCCTGGAGGCGCAGGCAGCCACGGGCTGCATCTCCGACCCGCTGAGGAGCCGCCGTGTGCCCGTGGCAGAGGCCGTGAGGGCGGGGCTGGTGGGGCTGGAGCTGAAGGAGAGGCTGCTCTCGGCTGACAGGGCTGCTACTGGCTTCCTGGACCCCTACACAGAGGAGAAAATCTCGCTCTACCAGGCCATGCAGAAGGAGCTGGTGGGGAGGGAGCAGGGCATCCGCCTGCTCCAGGCCCAGGTGGCGACCGGAGGCGTCATTGACCCGGCCACCGGCGCCCGGCTCCCGGCCCATGTGGCCTGTGAGAGGGGGCACCTGGATGAGGAGATGAGCCAGCTCGCCTCTGACCCCGGCACTGAGGACAGCAGGGTGTTCCTTGACCCCAGCACCATGGAGAAGGTCACTTACTCAGAGCTGAGGAAGAGGTGCATCGTGGATCCGGCCTCAGGCTTCCTGCTCCTGCCGCTGCAGATCACATTCCCGGGGATGGGAGGGAGGGTGAGCAGCAGGGACCTGATGGACTCTGGCATCATCAGCCCTGACGTGTTCCGAGGCCTCGAGGAGGGAGGAATCTCTCCCCAGGAGGTGGCAGAGAATGAGATTGTCCAGCACTTCCTGCGTGGGACCAGGAGCGTGGCTGGGGTTGTCCTGCCTTCTGGGGAGCAGAAGAGCCTTTACCAGGCACTGAGGGAGCATCTCCTGGTGCCTGGGGCTGCTCTCATGCTCCTGCAAGTCCAGGCCTCCACCGGCAGCCTGACAGACCCCCTGAAGAACAAAAACTACTCTGTGGACGAGGCTGTCAGGGTTGGTCTCATTGGCCCAGAGCTTTACGAGAAGCTGTCCTCAGCTGAGAAAGCCATCACTGGGTACAGGGACCCGTCCACCGGGGAAATGCTCTCCCTGTTCCAAGCCATCAGGAAGGGCTTTGTTCCCAGGGACCATGGCCTCTGCCTCCTGGAGGCTCAGCTGGCCACAGGGGGTGTCATCGCCCCGGGCAGGCACCTGCGTGTCCCCATGGAGACAGCCCACGAGTGGGGGTACCTGGATGAGGCCACCAGGCAGCTCCTGTCCAGCCCTCCTGATGACACGAAGGGGTTCTTTGACCCCAGCTCTAAGGAAAAGCTGAGTTATGCAGAGCTGCTCCAACGCTGCGTCACCGACCCCAGCACGGGGCTCCTGCTGCTGCCACTCCCTGGGGACAGCAGCGAAGGGTCCCAGGGGACACTCGGCTTCTTTGACCACAGGACCCAGACAGCTCTGGAAAACACACAGGTGCCTGTGGCTGTGGGGAAATTCAAGGGCAAGCCGGTGTCCCTGTGGAAACTGCTCTTCTCTGACTACATCCAGGGCGAGCAAAGAGCTGCGCTGGCTCAGCAGTTCCTGGCAGGAGTGCTCTCCCTGCAAGGCTTGGGAGACGCCGTCAGAGCCGCTGTTGAGGAAAATGCTGCCACTGCCAACGTCACCTTCAAGGGCCTGAGGGAGCAGGTGACAGCTGACCAGCTCCTGAGCTCAGAAATCATCAACAAAGACTTGTTCAAGAAACTCAAGGAGGGAGAAACGTCAGCTAAAGAGGTGGTGGGCATGGACACTGTCAGGAAGTACCTGCAGGGCACGGGCAGCATCGGGGGGCTGCTGCTCCCCGACTCCCAGGAGAAGATCAGCATCTACCAGGCGAAGCGCAAGGGGCTCCTCAGGCCAGGCACGTCTCTGATCCTCCTGGAGGCCCAGGCTGCCACGGGGTTCGTCATTGACCCCGCTGCCAACAAGAGGTACTCCGTGGACGAGGCTTTGCGAGCCAACGTCATCGGCCCGGATGTGTACGACAAGCTGCTGGCTGCGGAGAAATCTGTCACTGGCTACCGAGATCCTTACTCGGGGGACAAGATCTCCCTGTTCCAGGCCATGCAGAAGGAGCTGATCGTCAGGGACCACGGCATCCGCCTGCTGGAGGCCCAGATCGCCACCGGCGGCATCATTGACCCTGTCAACAGCCACCGTATCCCCGTGGAGGTGGCCTACAAGCGTGGCTACTTCGACAAGAAGATGAATTTAATCCTCTCTGACCCCAGCGACGACACCAAGGGCTTCTTCGACCCCAACACGCATGAGAACCTGACGTACCTGCAGCTGAAGGAGAAATGCATCACCGAGCCCTCTACGGGGCTCTGCCTCCTCCCTCTGAACAGCAAGAAGAGGCAGTTCGTGGACGAGGCCACCAGGCAGGTGTTCAGGAGCTCCTGGCTGCCCGTCAGGTTTGGGCGCCTGCGGGGGGAGAAGGTCTCAGTGTGGGACCTGCTGAACTCCGAGTACTTCAGCGAGGGGAGGCGCCGGGAGATTTTCAACCACTTCCACCTGAGGAAGCTCAGCCTGGAGCAAATCCGGCTCATGCTGGAGGAGGAGATGAAGAAATGGGCCCCCATCAAGTTCCCAGCCATGAGAGGCAACGTCAGCGCTTACCACCTGATGGAAACCGGAGTCATCGACAGGGCCCTGTTTGAGCAGGTGCTGGAGGGCTCCGTCACCCCAGAACAAGTCCTGCACATGGACTCTGTCAGGAAGTACCTCTACGGCTCAGGCAGCATCGGGGGGATCGTGCTCCAGCCATCCAACCAGAGAATGAGCATTTATGAGGCCATGAAGCAGAACATCGTGGTGCCAGGAGTGGCCCTGCCCCTGCTGGAGGCCCAAGCTGCCACGGGCTTCATTATTGACCCCGTGAACAACCAGAAGCTCTGCGTGGATGAGGCCGTCAAGGAGGGAGTCATTGGGCCAGATGTCCACGAGAAGCTGCAGCAGGCGGAAGGGGCCGTGACGGGCTATAAAGATCCTTTCACGGGCAAGAAGATCCCCCTTTTCCAGGCCATGAAGAAGGGCCTGATCGCAGACAAGCAGGCCATGCAGCTGATGGAGGTGCAGATGGCCACAGGAGGCATCATCGACCCAACGTGCGGCCACCACATCCCCCTGGAGTCGGCCCAGCAGCGAGGCTGCCTGGATGAGGACACCAGCAAGGCCCTCTCCAAGCCCAGCGATGACCACAGAGTGTTCTGCCTGCCAGACAGCAAAGAGAGCGTGACCTACGCCGAGCTGATCCAGCACTGCCAGAAGGACGACGTCTCCGGCTTCCACTTGCTGCCTCTGGCACAGGCAGCTGCTCCTGCCTACACTGACGAGCAAATCCAACGGATCTTCAAGGAAACCATGGTGAAGGAGAAAGGAGTGTCCCTCTGGGAGCTCATGCACTCGGGGTATTTCACCAAGGAGCAGAGGAGCGACTTCGTGGAGAAGTTCCGGTCAGAGGAGCTGTCGCTGGAGCAGCTGGTGGCTCTGGTGCTCAGGCTGGTGGGAGAGATGGAGATGAAAGCCAGGACACAGATCTCCCTGGAAGGCCTGAGGGGCAGTGTCCCTGTGGTCTGGCTGCTGGACACGGGCATCATTTCCCAGAAGACATTTGAAGAACTGGCTCAGGGTGTAAGAACTCCTGAGGAAGTGGCTGAAATGGAGAGTGTAAAGAGGTACTTGAAGGGCACAGGCAGCATTGCTGGGGTCTTCATAGAGGCATCCAAACAGAAGATGAGCTTCTATGACGCCATGAAAAACAACCTCCTCCTCCCTGGGGCTGCTCTGAGGCTGCTTGAGGCTCAGGCAGCCACAGGGTACCTGACTGACCCTGCCACGAACCGGAGGCTCAGCGTGAGGGACGCCGTGAGAGCAGCCGTTGTTGGAGAGGAGCTGTCTGAGAAACTCCTTCAGGCTGAGAGGGCTGTGACGGGCTACACAGACCCCTACACCGGGAGCTCCATCTCCCTGTGCCAGGCGCTCAGGAAGGAGCTCATCCCCCTGGCAGAGGCTGTGCCCCTGCTGGAGGCCCAGCTGGCCACAGGAGGGGTGGTTGATCCCACCCACCACCTCCACCTGCCGCTCCAGGCTGCCTACAAGTACGGCTTCTATGACGAGGAGCTGAACCAAACCCTCTCTCAGCTGGATGACAGCACCAAGAGCTTTTTTGACCCAAACAAAAAGGAGAACGTGACCTACCAGCAGCTGAAGGACCGGTGCATTCGTGATGCCGAGTCGGGTCTGTGGCTCCTCCCTCTGTCAGAAAATGCCATGTTCTGCGTGGATGAACAGACCATGAAGGTGCTGAAATCTGTGACTGTTTGTGTCAACGTGGGGCGGTTCAAAGGACAGACCGTGTCTGTCTGGGACCTCCTCAACTCTGAATACTTCTCAGACAGCCAGAGAAGAGAGCTGGTGCAAAAGTACAAGGATGAGAAGGCTGAGGTGCTGCAGGAAATCACCACAATTATCACCACAATCATCCAAGAGACTGAGGCACAGGGAAAGAAGTTCGCATTCAAGGGCCTGAGGAAAAGAGTTTCTGCCAGCGACCTCTTCCAGTCCCAGCTGATTGACAAAAAAACCCTTGACGAGCTCAACCAGGGGAAGAAAACAGTCAAAGAAGTGACTGAAATGGAGTCTGTCCGCAGGTACCTGGAGGGCACTAATTTCATAGCAGGGGTCCTTATCCAGCCAAGCAATGAGAAGATGAGCATCTACCAGGCCATGTGGAAGGGCATCCTGAGGCCAGGGACCGCCCTGGTGCTGCTGGAGGCACAGGCAGCCACCGGCTACATCATCGACCCTGAGAAAAACAAGAAGTTTTCAGTAGAGGAAGCGTTAGAGGTGGGTCTGATTGGAGGGGAGATTTTTGAAAAGCTACTCTGTGCTGAGAGAGCCGTGACAGGCTACACGGACCCCTACACCAAAGCCCCCATGTCCCTGTTTGAAGCCATGAACCAAGGGCTGATTGTGAAGAGCCACGGCATCCGCCTGCTGGAGGCCCAGATCGCCACTGGTGGCATCATCGACCCCGTGCACAGCCACCGTGTCCCTGTGGAGGTGGCCTACAAGCGTGGCTACTTCAACCAGGAGATGAACCAGATCCTATCCGACCCCAGTGATGACACCAAGGGCTTCTTTGACCCCAACACCCACGAGAACCTCACATATATGCAGCTCCTGGAGAGATGCGTCCAAGACCTGGACACGGGCCTGTACATGCTGCAGGTTGTAAAGGAGGGAGGAAAGTATTTCTACATTGATGAGTCCACAAAGCAGGCTTTGCGCTCAAAGCCCCTTCAGGTGAAAGTTGGAAAGTTTAAGGACCAAACCGTTTCTGTCTGGGAAGTCCTCTGCTCTCACTACTTCTCAGAGCAGAAGAGGAAAGAGCTGGTGATGCAGTACAAAAGCAAAAACCTAGCGTTGGAAGAGCTGATATCCCTCATCTTAAAAATCATCGAGGACACAGAGCGAAGAGGAGAAGCCCTCAAGGTTAAAGGACTGCGGGGCGAGGTGTCAGTGTCCGAGTTGTTCAACTCTGAGATAATTGACAAGAAAACTCTGGATCAGCTGCAGGACGGGAGTCTCACCCTTGCCAGCCTCACAAAGAGGGACACCATCCAAAGGTACCTGGACGGCACTGGGTGCATCGCTGGGGTTCTCCTCCCGCTGAGGAAAGAGGTGATGAGCATCTACCAGGCGCTGAAGAAAGGACTCCTCACAGAGCAGTGTGCCTTGGGGCTGCTGGAGGCACAAGCAGCCACCGGCTTCCTGGTGGACCCTCGGAGCCACCAGAAGCTCTCTGTGGACGAGGCCGTGTCCTCTGGGCTGGTGGGCAGCGAGCTGTGCGAGCAGCTGCTTTTGGCAGAGAAAGCCGTGACAGGATACACGGACCCTCAAACAGGGAATAAAATATCTCTGTTCCAGGCTGTGAGGCAGAAGGTAATAGTCAGGGATCAGGGCATCCGCCTGCTGGAGGCCCAGATCGCCACTGGTGGCATCATTGACCCCTGGTATGGCCACCGCCTGCCCCTGGAGGTGGCCTACAAGCGTGGGCACCTGGATGAGGACATGTTCCTCCTGCTTTCAGACCCAGACCATGGCAGCAAAGGCTTCATAGATCCCAACACTCACGAGAAGATCAGTTACAGCCAGCTCCTGCAGAGGTGTGCCAAAGACAGGGAGAGTGGTTTGTACCTGCTGCAGGTCCTGGAAAAGGAAGGCGACTATTTCTACATTGATGAGCAAACCAAAAATGCCCTGTTGTGCACCAAGGTCCAGGTGCCCGTGGGAAAATACAAGGGACAGGTGTTGTCGCTGTGGGAGCTCCTCTGCTCTGAGTACATCACAGAGGAGAAGAGAAAAGAGCTGGTGAAAAAGTACAAAGCAGAATCCCAACACATTGTGCAAGGAATCATAGAGACAATACTGAAGATCATCAGGGAAAAAGAAGAGGACAGAAATGATGTGTGGTTCCAGGGAATCCGACAGCAAATCACAGCATCAGAACTGCTCAGTGCACAAATAATTACAGAGGAAACAATAGAAAAACTCCAGAAAGGCAAAGAGACGGCTCAAGAAATAGCAAAAATGGAGAGTGTGAGGAGGTACCTTGAGGGAACTGGAAGCATTGCCGGCGTGCTGGTGCCCTCCAAGGCCAAGCTGGGTAAGATGGAGAAGATGAGCATCTACCAGGCCATGTGGAAGGGTATCCTGAGGCAGGGCACAGCGCTGGTACTGCTGGAAGCCCAGGCGGCCACTGGTTTCATCGTTGATCCAGTGAAGAATCAGAAGCTCTCAGTGGACGAGGCTGTGTCCTCTGGGCTGGTGGGCAGTGAACTGAAAAACAAACTTCTAAGTGCCGAGAGAGCCGTGACGGGCTACACCCACCCCTACACGGGACAAAAAATGAGCCTGTTCCAGGCCATGAAACAGGATCTCATTGTCAGGGACCACGGCATCCGCCTGCTGGAGGCCCAGATCGCCACTGGTGGCATCATCGACCCCGTGCACAGCCACCGCCTGCCCGTGGAGGTGGCCTACAAGCGTGGCTACTTCGACCAGGAGATGAGCCAGATCCTCTCTGACCCCGGCGACGACACCAAGGGCTTTTTTGACCCCAACACCCACGAGAACCTGACCTACCTGCAGCTGCTGCGCCGCTGCGTGCCCGACCCGGACACGGGGCTGCTGATGCTGCAGCTGATGGACAAGGGCTCCGTGCTCTACCAGCTGAGCGAGGATGCCCGCAGAGCCCTGCAGGCCGCCCGCACCACGCTGGCTGTGGGGCTCTTCCAGGGCCAGAGCGTCACCGTCTGGGAGCTCCTCTTCTCCCGCTACGTCCCCGAGCACCGGCGCCAGGAGCTCCTGCGCCAGTACAAGGCGGGGAAAGTCACCATTGCACAGATGATCGACATCCTCGTGCAAATCATCACCACGGCTGAGGGCCACGGTGAAAATGGAGTCCCCAAGGCCACAGAAAAGGAGATCCTGCCTGAACACAAACAGAATGGTAGCGCCTCAAAGTCCCAGAAGGAACAGAAACAGGAACAGGAGCAGGAGGAGGAGCTGGAGCGGTCCCTCAAGTCCCACACGGTCGAGGTCTCAGCAGGCGGCTTCCACAGCAGGAAGGTGTCCCTGTGGGAGCTGCTCTTCTCCAAGTTCGTGTCCGAGGCCAAGCGCCAGGAGCTGCTGGGATGTCTGCGGGCCGGGAGCCTGGCGCTGGCCGAGCTGGCCACGCTGCTCACCCTGCTGGTGGAGGAGGCGGCACAGCGTGGCAGCAGCGTGAAATTCACGGGCCTCAGGAGGCAGGTGAGCGCCTCGGACCTGCTGGACTCGGGCATCATCGACACGGGCACGCTGGCCGAGCTGGTGCAGGGCGCCAGGACGGTGCAGGAGGTGACGCAGATGGCCTCGGTCAAGCGCTACCTGGATGGCACGGGCGTCATCGCCGGTGTGCTGGCGCCCTCCAAGGCTGACCCAAACAAGATGGAGAAGATGAGCATCTACCAGGCCATGTGGAAGGGCATCCTGAGGCAGGGAACGGCCCTGGTGCTGCTGGAGGCCCAGGCGGCCACCGGCTTCCTGGTGGACCCGGTCAAGAACCAGAAGCTCTCTGTGGACGAGGCCGTGTCCTCTGGGCTGGTGGGCAGCGAGCTGCACGAGAAGCTGTTGTCTGCGGAGCGAGCCGTGACGGGCTACTCTGACCCCTACACGGGGGACAAGATCTCCCTGTTCCAGGCCATGAAGAAAGAACTGATCGTCAGGGACCATGGCATCCGCCTGCTGGAGGCCCAGATCGCCACCGGCGGCATCATCGACCCCGTGCACAGCCACCGCCTGCCCGTGGAGGTGGCCTACAAGCGTGGCTACTTCGACCAGGAGATGAGCCAGATCCTCTCTGACCCCGGCGATGACACCAAGGGCTTCTTCGACCCCAACACCCATGAGAACCTGACCTACCTGCAGCTGCTGCGCCGCTGCGTGCCCGACCCGGACACGGGGCTGCTGATGCTGCAGCTGATGGACAAGGGCTCCGTGCTCTACCAGCTGAGCGAGGATGCCCGCAGAGCCCTGCAGGCCGCCCGCACCACGCTGGCTGTGGGGCTCTTCCAGGGCCAGAGTGTCACCGTCTGGGAGCTCCTCTTCTCCCGCTACGTCCCCGAGCACCGGCGCCAGGAGCTCCTGCGCCAGTACAAGGCGGGGAAAGTCACCATTGCACAGATGATCGACATCCTCGTGCAAATCATCACCACGGCTGAGGGCCACGGTGAAAATGGAGTCCCCAAGGCCACAGAAAAGGAGATCCTGCCTGAACACAAACAGAATGATAGCGCCTCAAAGTCCCAGAAGGAACAGAAACAGGAACAGGAGCAGGAGGAGGAGCTGGAGCGGTCCCTCAAGTCCCACACGGTCGAGATCTCAGCAGGCGGCTTCCACAGCAGGAAGGTGTCCCTGTGGGAGCTGCTCTTCTCCAAGTTCGTGTCCGAGGCCAAGCGCCAGGAGCTGCTGGGATGTCTGCGGGCCGGGAGCCTGGCGCTGGCCGAGCTGGCCACGCTGCTCACCCTGCTGGTGGAGGAGGCGGCACAGCGTGGCAGCAGCTTGAAATTCACGGGCCTCAGGAGGCAGGTGAGCGCCTCGGACCTGCTGGACTCGGGCATCATCGACACGGGCACGCTGGCCGAGCTGGTGCAGGGCGCCAGGACGGTGCAGGAGGTGACGCAGATGGCCTCGGTCAAGCGCTACCTGGATGGCACGGGCGTCATCGCCGGTGTGCTGGTGCCCTCCAAGGCTGACCCAAACAAGATGGAGAAGATGAGCATCTACCAGGCCATGTGGAAGGGCATCCTGAGGCAGGGAACGGCCCTGGTGCTGCTGGAGGCCCAGGCGGCCACCGGCTTCCTGGTGGACCCGGTCAAGAACCAGAAGCTCTCTGTGGACGAGGCCGTGTCCTCTGGGCTGGTGGGCAGCGAGCTGCACGAGAAGCTGTTGTCTGCGGAGCGAGCCGTGACGGGCTACTCTGACCCCTACACGGGGGACAAGATCTCCCTGTTCCAGGCCATGAAGAAAGAACTGATCGTCAGGGACCATGGCATCCGCCTGCTGGAGGCCCAGATCGCCACCGGCGGCATCATCGACCCCGTGCACAGCCACCGCCTGCCCGTGGAGGTGGCCTACAAGCGTGGCTACTTCGACCAGGAGATGAGCCAGATCCTCTCTGACCCCGGCGACGACACCAAGGGCTTCTTCGACCCCAACACCCACGAGAACCTGACCTACCTGCAGCTCCTTCGCCGCTGCGTGCCCGACCCGGACACGGGGCTTTACTTCCTCAATATTGTTAGAAAATAATTGCAAAACCTTTTTATTTTTTTCCTTGTTTTTGCCTTGGGGAAGAATGTTGCTATTGTATAGTTCTTTTGATTCTGGTGTTTGTCTTTCTTTTTCTAAATATTTTTTTACCATTTATGAACCCAGTGAGGGAATTTCCTTCGTGATCTCTTTTCTTTGCCACCACCCACCCACATCAGGTGCAGCTTTGAAGTGCCTCCCCCTGAGCAGTGTTGCTGCACTGCATTGTTCATCCTTCCTTGGTTGCCTTTGAGGAACAGAGGAGGCAGGCTGGGTTATGTCAGGACATTTTGGTGATTTGTGTCATCCTCATTTTCCTCACACAGGTTTAACTGCAGGTCTTTGTTCCGTTTGGGTGCTGCCGTGAGTGGTATTTTTTTATTCTCTGCCTCTCTTTTCCTGCATATGCCAGCTATTTTACCCAGAAGCTCTGCAGGATTACATTCAGGTGCAAGTTTTTAAGCCAGGACAGTGTGCAGAGCAGATTCCTGCGTGGGCAGGATGCCAGGCTTGCATTGGGTGTCACTGGCATGGGACACATCATGTGTTTGCTCTCCGTGCCCCAGCCTGTCCTGCCTTTCCAGGGCTGTCTGGAGCACAAACCGCCTCAGCCCAGCGTAGTTTGCTCTCTCACTGTGCTTTCCCTCCCTCTGTGAAGCCTCCATGGGGATGGATCCTCAACGGAGCTGGAGTGGATCTGGCTGTGCTGTACTTTCTGTCTGTCCATCCATCGTGGAGCCTCCTTTCCCTCCTGCTCCTTTTGCCCTCCTGTGTCCTGAGCTGACTCAGCCACATGCCGGAGCACAGGAACAGCCCTGGAGCCACTCTCCCGTGCAGTTCAGGGATGAATAATTCTACTGCTGTTTAATGGGAGGAAACTTACCCTGCTTAAATGTGCTGCCTTGGGGTGTTTGCCTTAATTAACCTGTTAATGTCCTGGAAAATGGACTTTTGGCCACAGGCTTGTGCGGCTGATACTTGGGAACAAGGTAGAGGAGCTGTGGGGCCCAGAGAATTTCAGGGGCTCAGAAAATGAGGCAATAAATTAATGGGAGAGAAGTCACAGAAGCATGGAATGGTTTGGGTGGGAAGGAGTCTCCTCATGCCACCCCCTGCCATGGGCAGGGACACTTTCCACTGTCCCAGGCTGCTCCAAGCCCTGTCCGACCTGGCCTTGGGCACTGCCAGGGATCCAGGGGCAGCCCCAGCTGCTCTGGGCACCTGTGCCAGGGCCTGCCCACCCTCACAGGGAACAATTCCTTCCAATATCTAACCCACATCTATGTTCTTCCAATTTGAAGCCATTCCCTGATGTTGTTCAGCCAGGGATGGAAAGAAAGGCTCCAGGCTTCAGGTAGATCAGAAGGCTCAAGAAAAATCTTTGTTAGCAAGAAGCAGTGAGTTTAATAGACTCACTCACTAACTGGGACCGGATTGGTGTCAAAGTAGAAAAATTCTCACCTTATTGGTGGCGATGAATAGCACACTGTGAGGAACCATAACCATAAACAATAGTTACAGAAAGAGAGATAATAATTGTTTGAATTCTTTCATCTAAGATTCCCAGGCTCAGCCTGGGAGAAATTGTTTCTGTTCTTTTTTTGACTGAACTGAGAATCTCCACAATTCCCCCATGTCCTGGCACTGCAGGCCTTCATCCCTCTCCAGCTGCCTTACAGCCCCCTTTAGCTGCTGGAAACCCACAATAACATCTCCCAGGAGTTTTCTCATCCTGGAAATCCAATTCTCCCTTCCACGGAGGCAAACAGGAACAGGGAGAGCTGAGTCCTTGGGGTGTGTCTGTAACATCCCACTGTGCTGGTGCCAGCGTGGTGTCCCCACAGTTGCTGCACTGGGACACGGTTTGGGACAAGGGCAGGGCCAGCACAGTGTCCCTATGGCTGCTGCACTGGGACACGGTTTGGGACACTCTGAAGGGCAATGCCAGCATGGTGTCCCCATGGCTGCTGCACTGGGACACGGTTTGGGACAAGGGCAGGGCCAGTGTGGTGTCCCTATGGCTGCTGCACTGACTTGTGGTTCCTGGGAAAAAGGGATGGGCCAGGCTTTTCCTGGTGCTCAGGGCACCTGGCCTGAGGCATGGTGTGGGAGGGAGAGAATCGGGGGGGGGTTGGGGTGGTGCCAGGGCTGCAGGGATGGTGCCAGGGTCACTGTGGCTGCTGCACTGGGACACGGTTTAGGACACTCTCAGGGTAGGGCCAGCATGGTGTTCCCATGGCTGCTGCACCATCCCTGCAGCCCTGGCACCACCCAAATGACCCTGGCACCACCCAAATGACCCTGGCACCATCCCTGCAGCTCTGGCACCACCACAGTGACCCTGGCACCATCCCTGCAGCTCTGACACCACCGCAGTGACCCTGGCACCATCCCTGCAGCTCTGGCACCACCACAGTGACCCTGGGACCTCCCTAGTGACCCTGGCACCATCCCTGCAGCTCTGGCACCACCACAGTGACCCTGGCACCTCCCTAGTGACCCTGGCACCATCCCTGCAGCCCTGGCACCACCACAGTGACCCTGGCACCATCCCTGCAGCCCTGGCACCATCCCTGCAGCTCTGGCACCACCACAGTGACCCTGGCACCTCCCTAGTGACCCTGGCACCATCCCTGCAGCTCTGGCACCACCGCAGTGACCCTGGCACCATCCCTGCAGCTCTGGCACCACCACAGTGACCCTGGGACTTCCCCAGTGACCCTGGCACCATCCCTACATGCCTGGTGCCACCACAGTGACCCTGGCACCATCCCTGCAGCCCTGGCACCACCACAGTGACCCTGGCACCATCCCTGCAGCCCTGGCACCATCTCTGCAGCTCTGGCACCACCACAGTGACCCTGGGACCTCCCTAGTGACCCTGGCACCATCCCTGCAGCTCTGGCACCACCGCAGTGACCCTGGCACCATCCCTGCCCCCCAGATTCTCTCGCTCCCAGGCCCTGTCACAGACCAGGTGTCCTGAGCACCAGGAAAAAGCCTGGCCCATCCCTTTTTCCCAGGAACCACGAGTCAGGCACAGGATACCTGATAACACCTTTCCCACAGAGATCAGGGTTGTGCAATATCTCCCAGCCACAATAAAGAGCATTTTTGTCCGAGCCCGTGTCTGCTCGTGCCCGTCCTCTGGGCGCGGGGATGGGCCGGCTCCAAGTGGTTCTTCAAAGGGAACTTTGTTATTTTTGTTATTCTTTCCTGCGCGAGGCGCTGGTGCGGGCGGGCAGGGAGAGGCGGAGCAGGGGCGGTGGCCGCCGGTACCTGCCGGGCAGGTGACATCAGTGCCTCGGTACCTGCCGAGCAGGGGACAGAAATGCCACCGGTACCTGCCCGGCAGGTGACACAAACACCGCCGGTACCTGCCCGGCAGGTGACAGCAGTGCCTCGGTTCTCGGGAGTTTAGCTGTTAATCACAGCCCCGAGATTTTTGAAAAGTCTCTGTTTTGGGTGAAAAGTCTCTGTTTAGGCCCACACATTCACAGAACAAGTCAGAGTTCTTCAGTTCTCAGTCTCAGAGTTGTTTATTTTATCTTATCTATAAAATTTTTCTCCTGTCCAGCTGAGGTCCGCTCAACAGGACAGACAGAGGCACTCTGCCTGAGCTCGGGGCGGTGTTATCTCTTTATACCACAAACTACATGTACAATGTTTACAATTACTTTCCAATACCTATCACCTATGTTAGATAGTGAATTTCTATTCTAAACCAATCCCAAAGTGCCAACATCGCAGCAGAAGATGGAGGTAGAGAAGAAGAAGAAAGGCTGGACACACCCAAGTCCCTCCATCTTGTCCCCAAACCCCCCATTCTAAAAACACCAAAATCTACTTATTCACCTAGTGATAATTTTATAATTACACTACTTAAACTTCTTTCAGGTCTTCATACAAAGCTGGCAATTTGCTCCAGGGGTCATAATCAAACCCACAGGTGCTCTGGGCTGTGTGCCAGGGTTTCTGAGCCCCCTGGCAGGGGTCCCAGCAAATCTGGACACCCAGAGGGATGTGCTGAGTTCTGACATCTGGTACCTGCCGAGCAGGTGACACAAACACCGCCGGTACCTGCCCAGCAGGAGATAGCAGCGCCCTGGTACCTGCCAGGCAGGTGACAGCAGTGACACCGGTACCTGGCCGGCAGGTGACACAAACACCGCCGGTACCTGCCCAGAAGGTGACAGAAACACCGCTGGTACCTGCCAAGCAGGCAACAGCAGCGCCGCCTGGGGTCCGGCCCTGCCGAGGGTCAAACACTACCGAGGGGCCGTTTGCCTGGGGTCCAGACATCTTTTCTTTTCTTTTCTTTTTTCTTTTCTTTTCTTTTCTTTTCTTTTCTTTTCTTTTCTTTTCTTTTCTTTTCTTTTCTTTTCTTTTCTTTTCTCTTTTCTTTTCTTTTCTTTTCTTTTCTTTTTTCTCACTTTCTCACTTTGTCATTTTCTTTCTTTCTTTCTTTCTTTCTTTCTTTCTTTCTTTCTTTCTTTCTTTCTTTCTTTCTTTCTTTCTTTCTTTCTTTCTTCCTTCCTTCCTTTCCTTCCTTTCCTTCCTTCCTTCCTTCCTTCCTTTCCTTCCTTTCCTTTCCTTCCTTCCTTTCCTTCCTTTCCTTCCTTCCTTTCCTTCCTTTCCTTTCCTTCCTTCCTTTCCTTCCTTTCCTTCCTTCCTTTCCTTCCTTTCCTTTCCTTCCTTTCCTTCCTTTCCTTCTTTCTTTTCTCCTTATATATTTTCTTAAGCAATATGGACTTCTATATTTTTATAGACAATAACAGAGACAGTCACATCCTTCCTTTGCACTTAAATTTAATTTTATTTTAAGGAATTAAAACAATCACATTGTTTTAAAACCACCCTGTTCATATACCCAGGGGTCATTCACTGTCGTTTCTCTCTGGCAAACCCCGAGGGTGGATTAACCAGAGCTCTGCCATGCTCTGCCTGTGCTCAGGTATTTCCAGGGGCAGGAGCTGCCACCCCCAGGGCAGGCAGGGCTCTGTGCATCCCCCTCCTCATTAAAATGTCTCAGCAGCCACAGGGGCTCAGGGACCTGTGCTCCAGTGATGCCTTGTGAAGGCTGGCCTAGAACAGAAACCAGACACAGCTGAATAATAAAGTTGGGATTTATTAAGAGGCCTCAGTGGATCCATCATGGGCAAAGCTGAAGAATAAAGCTGGGATTTTTTAAGGGGCCACAATGGATACACCTTGGGCAGCACAACCCAAAATGGCCACAAAAATGGACAACAGCTCATGGGGGTCTCACATTTTATAAGTTCTGCTCCATTAGCATATTGGAGCTATTTGTCCAATTACGGCTTTAGCACATGCAGTCCCATCCGTCTTGTTTTTCTCTCTCCAGCCCATGTTGTTTGTGCTCTTGGGGTGTCACAGACATCTTTTCATTAAAATCCTTTCTTAGGATTTTTTCCTGCTGAAGCTGAGAAGTTTCAGCAACAAAGTGTAAACAATGGTTATCTGCTGCTGTGGAATGCAACAGGTGGATCCATGATTGGTCTCCTGTGAATGTTTGGATTTACTGACCACTCACGGTAGGGCTGGGTCTTGCTCTCTGCCAAGAGATAGATCTTTGTTATTCATTGCTTTTCTATTCTATTCTTAGTTTAGCTAGCCGTCTGAGAACTTTTCCTTTCTATTCCTTTTAGTATAGTTATAATGTAGAATATATATCATAAAATAATAAATCAAGCCTTCTAAACATAAGGTCAACATTCTCACCCTGAAAACCCTTGTGACCACTGTCACACTTGGGGCTGAGATTTGGATCCAAAATAGCTACAAAAATGGACAACAGCTCATGGGGTCTCACACTTATCATAAGTTTTGGTCCATTTGCATATTGGAGCTAATTGTCCAATTACAGCTTTAGCCCATGAAATCCCATCCTTCTTGTTTTTCTCTCTTCAGCCCACGGTGTTTGTGCTCTTGGACCTGAGATTTGGATCATTTGTCCTTGGTGCCCAGCTAGAGAAGGAATTGTTTTGTCTCCCTGCTCTGTGCAGAGAGCTCACCATACCCTAATATGGAGCCCAGACCCACACACTAAAGCAGCACAGAATGTGAAAAATAGAAAAGCCAAAACCTGAGGGATTCCCAGCACCAGCTGGAAGGGAGCTGGGAGCAGTGTCAGCACCTGAGCTCCGCCCCTGGAGGTTTCCCAAATCAATCACTGCAGGAAAACCCTCCTCAAACGCCCCAGTGCTGAACCATCCCTGGGAAAGGCATCTCCCAGCCTCTGATGTGGCTCCGAGATGCTCCAGCCACGACTCCCACACCTTCCGGCAGGTGAGGCCGCAGGGCTGGCTGTACCTGGGCCCAGGTGTGTCTGTGCCAGGCTCCCGGGCAGCTGCAGGTGAGCCAGGGAGCCCGGGGGCATCCCAGGGGTAAAAAAATGTGAATTTTATTATTGTCTTTTGGGAAATATTCAAATTAATATTATATGTGCTATGTTAGAAAGTAATGCTGTATTAATTTTCTTAAGTAGTGTGTTAAATACAGTTTTAGGTTATAACAAAATCTTAAAATAAAAACTATGCTGTGTAAGATACTTTTTTTAAAGAAAGGACTCACACCAGATAGCAGCCACAGGACACCTGAACCTTTCAGAGAAAAAGAATTTATTGCTCCAGTATCAGAACAAACTAACTTCTTTCTGCCTCGCTCAGCCCTGAAGATGCCGTCAGGATTCAGAGGAAGCAGCTGACACTGCCCAGACAGAATCCTGTATTTGAATGGAATTTACACATCATGGATGAGGTGTATGAATATGCAACAGGCTGTTGCTTTTAAGGGTTAATCCTCTGTATACGTGGGTCATTTTTCGGGCTTATTTTGCCCAGAAAGAGCTACCCCGGATATCCGTAACTCTTTGTTTCTATTGTCTTGTGTTTTCCTAATCCTAATTGTCCAATTTTTTATTACTCTAGTTATATTAATATTTTTATAACCATTTAATTACTATTAAACTTTAAAAATTTTAAAAACGAGTGATTGGCATTTTCCACACCAGGGCTCTGTGCCCTCTCTGTGGCCTCTACAAGAAGTATCCCAGTATCCCCAAATCCTCAAATATATTCCCAATATCCAAATATAATCCAAAAGTGTGAAATAGATCATAGAGAGCAGTGTAGGTGTATCACTTGGTGAGAAATTGAGGTTTTGGGATTTTTAGTGTGCTGATGGAAGCAAAATGGAGGGCACAGGGTGCTGTCCTGGGTTTCTTCCTCATGGGTTTGGGTGGTATTTTGTAATTGGACAGAAAAGTCCGTCTTGTGGGCTCTGAGATAAATTATTGGGTTAAAAGGGAAAATAATCCAGGTGTCAGTTCTTAATTGGATAGTTTAGTCTTAAAAGCCCTTGTACCAAGAGATTGTTGGCCATCCTGTGCCTTCTAATGAAAAGCTGCTCAACTCACAGCAGTGAGACTATTTTACTGGTAAGAAATAATAAACACTTGAGTCTGAACATGGATTACTGCCTCAGGTGCCTTCAACCCAGACCCAGAGAAACCCACAACTGGGACCCCCAAAACTGGGACCCCTACAACTGGGATCCCCACAACTGGTGCCCCATGTGAGGAACCTCAGGAGTCCAAGCCCCATCCAACCTGGCCTTGGTCACTTCCAGGGACGGGGCAGCCACAGCTGCTTTGGGCAATTTCTGCCAGGGCCTGCCCACCCTCACAGGGAAGGACTTTTTCCCAATATCTCCTGTAAATAAATCCCCTTTTTCAGTTAAAAACTTCCCTGCCCCTTGTCCTGTCGCTCTCTGCCCATGACAAGAGAAATGAAATCAGTGAAGTTCCAGTTATGCTGCAATTATGGCTACAAAAGATTTAAGAAACCTCTTTGTTTTCTGACCAAGAGGTGCTGTTTTCTGACCAAGAGGTGTGTTTAATTAACACAAAAGATATATCCCTTCCATTTACATTTCTTCTTTTAATTGTAAAAATATGTGGTGGAATAATTTTTTTCCTAGCTCAGAGTAAAAACGGTTGGCAAACATTTCACCTAGAACTCAGTTACGTTGTTTATATATGAAGATCTAACCATTTAAATTTTATTTAGCAGAAAAATCCAAATAAATTCTTTTATGAAAATGAATACAAAAAGCTATATCACTTCCATTTACATTTCTTCTCTTGATTGTAAAAATATGTAGTGGAAATAGTTCTTCCTAGCTCCAAGTAAAAAGGGTTGGCAAATATTTCACCTAGAACTCAGTTTGTCAAGTTTATATATGAAGATCTAACCATTTAAATTTTATTTAGCAGAAAAACCCAAATAAGTTCTTTGATGAAAATGCTTCAGCTTCTTCTGAGTGAAACATTTAAAATTTTGCCCAGAAACACACTCATTCTTAACATTTTCCTGAAGATCTAACAATTTAAATTTCATTTAGCGGTAAAACCCAAAGAAGGAAAATGCTTCAGCTCCTTCTGAGTGAAACATCTAAAATTTTGCTCAGAAACATTTTTCTGAGGAAATTTCCTGAGCTGAGAGCAGGGACGAGCTCCAGAGCGGGGACCGAAGCCTCAGGAGCAGGTCCTGGAGCCATCACCCCATGGGGACAGGGTACCTGGGCCAGGTGTGCTCCCCGCAGGGTCCTGGAGCCATCACTCCCCCAGGACAGCACAGGTACCTGGGCCAGGTGTGCTCCCTGCAGGGTCCTGGAGCCATCACTCCCCCAGGACAGGACGGGGTACCTGGGCCAGGTGTGCTCCCCGCAGGGTCCTGGAGCCATCACTCCCCCAGGACAGCACAGGTACCTGGGCCAGGTGTGCTCCCTGCAGGGTCCTGGAGCCATCACTCCCCCAGGACAGCACAGGGGGCCAGGTGCACTCCCCACAGGGTCCTGGAGCCATCACTCCCCCAGGACAGGTACCTGGGCCAGGTGCCCTCCCCACAGGGTCCTGGAGCCATCATCCCCCCAGGACAGCACAGGGTACCTGGGCCAGGTGCGCTCCCCGCAGGGTCCTGGAGCCACCTCCCCTCAGGACAGGACAGGGTACCTGGGCCAGGTGCGCTCCCCGCAGCCGAGCCCCCTCCCGGTGAGTCAGAGGGAGAAGCTCTCGGGAGCCGCTCAGCCGGTCTGGGGAGCGCCCACGCCGGCAGGAACGCGCTCGGGAGCAGGACAGACGGACAGGCAGGGCCGGGGCACGCAGCCCCTCCTGCCACCGAGGCAGGCATCGAGCCATGAGCCATGCAGGACATGGGCACACCTGGGTGAGGGCAGCTTTCCATGTGTCACCTGTGTCCCCCAGGGCAGGCACTGAGCCACGCGGGACACGGGCACACCTGGCTGAGGGCAGCTTTCCGTGTGTCACCTGTGTCCCCACGCACGGGGAGCCACCCATGACTCACACAGGCATTGTCCTTTGTGTCCAGGCTCACGGGACGGTCACAGGAGAGTCACCTGCATGGAGAGTCACAGCAGGGACCTGCACAAGGTCACACAGTGACACACAGGGTCACACGGTCACACACGAGGTCACATTGTCACAGCAGGGACCTGCACAGGGTCACACCACAGCCACAGTCACACACAGGGTCACACAGGACCCTATTCCAGGTGCGTGGAATCACACAGGACCCCACAGGGGCCGTCACACATAGCGAGGCACAGACACCTGTTGTTGAGGTTGACAGGACTTTTGCTTTATGTTTACAGCTAATGATTGGAGAGAAGGCGATCCTCCAAAGCGCAATGTTACTCCCCGTTATTTTGCCTGCAGAAATTCAAGTTTTTGGTGTAATTACTCAAACAGCTGGGATGTGCTTTCTGAGGCTGACCACGACAATTGCCAAAGGGACATTGGTTCATTTGTGGAGACAGGGCTTCCAGGGCATCCCACCACACCCTGAAGGTGGCCCGTGTGGCATGGGAACGCTCACTGTGACAGCACCTGCAGCTAAAGCAGGCATGGAGAGGAGCTGGGGGAGCTCCATGGCCGGTCCAGGTCAGTTTTCCAGCTCTGCTCCCGTGTGCCAGCCCAGGGCAGGGCCACCCAGCACGGGGCAGGGCTCCCTGCCGTCCCCAGGGGCAGGGAAGGGCAGGATTTAAATCGGGCACCTGCGCCTCCGCTCACCTGGCTGGGAGCCGGCGGGAGGAGGAGGAGGAGGAGGATCAGGATCAGGATCATCATCATCGGAGCCTGCCGGCGGTCCAGCTGCTCTAGATTCACGGCCAGGAGGTAGGACAGAGGACAGAGCCCACCTGGGGTCACCGAGGGGACCTGCGCAGGGAGCGGGGACCTCGCCCCAATCCCAAACTCCGGGCAGAGCTGCTGAAACTGCTGGGATCGGTGAGCGGGAGATCTCCGGGCAGAAACTGGTCCTTTTCGGGAAGGGACAAAGTGACCGAATGGCACCAGGGCTGGTGGAAGCTGCTGCTCTGGTGACGCGTTTTGTGTCGCCGGTGCTTCAGCAGAGCTGGGGTGCGGGAGGGAAACAGAGGGAGCTGCGGGACCGACCCGGGGCTGCGGCTGGAATGGTGGAGATCGCTGGGATCCGGGGCTGGAGCAGTGGGAATGGCTGGATCCAGGGCTGGAGCAGTGGGGCTTGGCTAGGAGCCCGGAGAGAAGGCAGTGGGCAGGAGCTGGGCTGTACTGGGGGCACTGGTGTGATTTCTGTCCCCAGGGTGGGTGCATGACTGGGGGCACAGGTGTGTTTTCCCTCCCAGTGTCAGTGCTGTACTGGGGGCACTGGTGTGATTTCCTTCCTCAGTGCTGTACTGGGGGCACTGGTGTGATTTCCCTCCCGGACCCCGGGCAGGACTGGGGACCCCCTTGTTTTGGGGCCACCCCGGCTGGCCCCGGCTATGAAACCACTCCCACCGGAGCCTTCTGGCCGAGCCAGCCCCGGGAGCTGCGAGTGCAGTCCAGCCCCGGCCCCGGAGGCTGATTAGAGAGCTGCTAATGACAGGCTGCGGTTGGGAAACGGGCTGGCGGTGCAGGGTGTTCACACGAACGCCGTGTCCTACAGAGGTGTCACTGAATCCAGGGGGAATCACTGGATCCAGGGTTTGGAGCAGTGGGAATCACTGGAGCAGTGGGAATCGCTGGATCCAGGGTTGGAGCAGTGGGAATCGCTGGATCCAGGGCTGGAGCAGTGGGAATCACTGGGCTCCAGGGCTGGAGCAGTGGGAATCACTGGATCCAGGGTTGGAGCAGTGGGAATCACTGGATCCAGGGCTGGAGCAGTGGGAATGGAGCAGTGGGAATCACTGGAGCAGTGGGAATCGCTGGATCCAGGGTCAGAGCAGTGGGAATCGCTGGATCCAGGGTTGGAGCAGTGGGAATCACTGGATCCAGGGTTGGAGCAGTGGGAATGGAGCAGTGGGAATCACTGGAGCAGTGGGAATCGCTGGATCCAGGGTTTGGAGCAGAGGGAATCACTGGATCCAGGGTTGGAGCAGTGGGAATCGCTGGATCCAGGGTCAGAGCAGTGGGAATCGCTGGATCCAGGGTTTGGAGCAGTGGGAATCACTGGGCTCCAGGGCTGGAGCAGTGGGAATCACTGGATCCAGGGTTGGAGCAGTGGGAATCACTGGATCCAGGGCTGGAGCAGTGGGGATGGAGCAGTGGGAATCACTGAAGCAGTGGGAATCGCTGGATCCAGGGTTTGGAGCAGAGGGAATCACTGGATCCAGGGTTTGGAGCAGTGGGAATCACTGGATCCAGGGTTGGAGCAGTGGGAATCACTGGATCCAGGGCTGGAGCAGTGGGGCTGGAGCAGTGGGAATCATGGATCGCTGACACCACGCTCCAGCGTGCAGTGCCACCCCGGCAGGCAGCACAGCCATCCCATCACCTCCCTCTGCACCAGGGGATGACATCGCTCTCCAGGACCCAGTGCCACCCTGGCAGGTGGCACAGCCAGCACATCACCTCCCCTGCACCATCGGAGCCGGGCAGGGATGGACAGGAGTGGGACAGAGCCACGGGGAGGGTCCCTGGATGTTGCAGTGTGATGTAATAGCCTGTCTCAGTATCCCGGTTCTTTCCCCAGGTGTGCCAATACTCTCTCCCTTCCCCTCCCTTGCCCCTGCTGAGCGCTGTCCATCAATCTTGGCATTCCAGCAAGGACACCGTGTGATTGGCAGAGTTCAAAAGATTCCTCTCAGCCCTGGGGACATTGAGCCATCCAGGTGTCATTTGTCCCCTGAGACTTCTCCCTCCTTACCTGGTTGGTAAATCGGTTCCTCTGCTTCAGGCGGGTCACTGTTTTCCACTGAGGCTTCCATGTCATCCATTGGAGCACTGAGGGCTTCCAAATGGTAGACCTCAGGAGGGGGAGATGAGCTTGAAATTAACTTAAGAACCATGCTTTTGATTAGCCCGAAAACAATGCTAACAACAACAATAACAACAACTAGAATAAACAATATTAAAATCACAGTTTTCAGAACAGATCCCAACCAGCCCGAGTCCCCAGCCTTTGAACAGTCCTCTCAGCCAGCTGTCAGTTTCTCTCTTGATGTCATTCACCATGGTTTTCATCTTGTCTGCGGAGAGACAGATGTGAGCTTGTCCAAGGGCTTTGGCCAAGGTAGTCCATAGGTTGCTTTGGGCTGAGGGACTATCCAGGAGATCGCTGGTGGAATGATGGTGAGTAGGACGGCCCGGACAGCAGGGCTGGGCTGGGGCTGTGGGTGAATCTCAGCCCCACCGCGGTGCCTCCGCCCCAGCATCAATCCAGGATTTCAATGGATCAAAGCAGTGACTCAGAGACATCCCCAGCGCTCAGTAAACAGCCAGGGACATGGAACTGTGACCCTGATAACGAGTCAGACGTGTCATTAGTGTCACTCAGAGGAGTTTACAGGCCATGGGTGTTCCCCAGGAGATCCTCTGGGTTTCGATTCTGCTGCTTTTACGAGGCTGTGGCCTCATCGCTGCTGCACCGTGCTGGAGATGCTGGGAGTGTGTTTACAGGGGACCAGGTGACAACGTGAGACATCCTGGGAGTGGGTGGCATCCCTGCCTGTGGCAGGGGCTGGGACCAGATGGGTTTTAAGGCCTCTTCCCACCCAGATTATCCTGGGATTCCATGATGCATCTGTGATTTCTTCATTAAATAACATAGCCTGGTTTTGTAGGACAGGAGGATGACAGGAGGGTGTTTGGGGTCTGTGCTGGTGTTCACAGGGGTTCTTGGATGAGGGAAGAGATGAGGATCTGACTCCATGTTTCAGAAGGCTTGATTTATTATTTCATTATATATATTATATTAAAACTATACTAAAATAATAGAAGAAAGGATTTCATCAGAAGGCCAGCTAAGAATTGAATAGGAAGGAATGATAACAAAGGTTAGTGGCTCGGCTCTCTGTCTGAGCCAGCTGGGCTGTGATTGGTCATTAATTACAAACATCTAACATGGGCCAATCAAAGATTTACCTGTTGCATTCCACATCAGCAGATAATCAATGTTTACATCGTGTTCCTGAGGCCTCTCAGCTTCTCAGGAGGAAAAAATCCTAAAGAAAGTATTTTCCATAAAAGATGTCTGTGACAGGGCTCTCTGCCTGCCCAGTGGCCTTGGAAAAAGCAGAGACCCAGAGAACCCAGAGATAGAACCCAGAGCCAGGGGAAAGCTCTCCCTCAGCTCCTGCTGCTGTCCCTGGCTCTGAACAGCCACTCATCCTTCCCTAAGACCATTCCCGTGCCCTGTGGAGTGCCAGGATGGTGTGGGATCACACAGCCCCCAGGAGCATCCACACACACACCCGGGCTGTGCCCTGTGTCCCACCATCCCCAGGACAGAGGCCAGACCGGGTTAAATAAAGCAGGTATTTATTAAAGGGCCTTCAAAGGACACACCTTGGGCAGTGCCAGAGCCCAGCCGTGGCTACACCTCAGATGGATAATGGGTCATGACTTTTCACTCTTTTATAAGTTTGGGTTCGTTTGCATATCGGGGCTAATTGTCTAATTACAGCTCCAATTACAGGTTATGCAGCCATATCCTCCCAGCTTGCTCTCCTCAATTCGCTTTTGTTTGCACTTTTTGGGCCTGAGGCTGTGAGGGTGTCCTTGGTTGTGGGGCTGGAAAAGGATTGTTGTGTGTGACTGAGCTGTGAGGGGAACTTGCTGACACTTTATGTGGAGCTCAGAGTTACTAACACAGCAGAGAGTGTGGAAAATAGGGAAGTTAAAACTCAACTCTAGGAAAATATGAAAGTTAAAACCCAAGGCAAGGTCCTGAATCATGCTGGCACCAGCCCAAAGGCAAGTGGTGGTTGTGTGTGTGACAGTGTTCACAGGGGTTTTCAGGTTGGGGAAGAGACCAGGATCTGACTCCATGTTTTCAGAAGGTTTGATTTATTATTTTATGATATATATTATATTAAGACTATACTAAAAGAACAGAAGAAAGGATTTCATCAGAAGGCCAGCTAAGAATAGAAAAAGAAAGAATAATAACAAAGGCTTGTGACTGACCAGAGAGTCCGAGCCAGCTGACTGTGATTGGCCATTAATTAGAAACAACCCCATGAGACCAATCACAGATGCACCTGTTGCATTCCACAGCAGCAGAAAATCATTGTTTACATTTTGTTCCTGAGGCCTCTCAGGAGGAAAAATCCCAAGGAAAGCATTTTTCATAAAAGATGTCTGTGACAGTTGTGACCCCCAGGAACAGGAGAGGAGAGGGGCTGAGGGCACAGGCTTGGGGCTCTGGGGGAGCATGGGGGTGCCTGGGGGGCTGCAGGGTGCCCCTGCTGCTGAGATGGTGATTCCCTGTGTGCTGTGTCTGTCACCAACCCCTGCCCTGCCCTCAGAGCTCTCTGCCCACTCCAGCTGCACCCTGGCCTGCTCTGAGGGAGCAGCAAAGGCCCCGATGCCCCTCCCTGCTTCTCCTGGGCTCCCTCCAGGGAGGGGCTTTCCCCACCCTGAGCACCCCCAGAGCTGCCTCAATAAACACTGCTGTGCTCCCGTGTTCCAATTTAGGGAGGGGGCAATGGGAATTTGGGGGTCCCAGCAAAGCCAGAGTGACCCCCACATCCCCCAAGGGTCTCTCTGGCCCTCCTGGGGATCCCAAAATCTCTCCCAAGCCCTTCCCCACCCACAATAAATGCTGCTGGTCCCCAAATAGTCAGCGGTTCAGATTTGGGGAGGGGGACACAGGAAATTTGGGGATCCCCAGCAGAGGGACCCTCGCATTCCCCAAGATCCACTCTTGGCTGTGGGGACCCCACTGTGAAACCCACACAGGGATTTGTGACTTACCAGGGGCTCTGTCTGTTCCTCCTGATGTATTAAAATTATGGATATTGATCCAGTACGGATATCCAAAACCTCTCTGACAGTTTAGAGTTAGAAAGTGTGTGTTTATTGTGGGATAGCTCCCAAATATACATTGCAATTTACAGGTGATTACAGAGTCCTTTTATCTATACAGGTATTAATTTACAGGTGATTAAAGAGTCCTTTTATCTATACAAGTATTGAATACCCAAAATACAAATGCATATTCATGACTTTGGTACATCCCATTCCCAGTATGGATATTGATCTATGGATTTTGATATCCAAAAACTCTCTGAAAGCTTATAGTTAGAAAGTGTTTGTTTATTGTGGGATAGCTCCCAAATCACACTGCAATTTACAGATGATTACAGAGCCCTTTTATCTATACAAGTACTGAATACCCAAAATACAAATGCATATTCCTGACTTTGATACATCCCATTCCCCACTTCGTATGGTAATTAGTTCAAAAACTATTAAGCATGGTAATTAGTTCAAAAGCTATTAAGCATGCGCAGTGTGTTCCTTGAAATGGGTCGGTAGTCCCTTTCATGGGGAGGGGTCCCGAAATGAGGAAGTAAATGAAGTCTTCCTTGTTCTGGCCTTTCTACATTTTCAGTGCAAATATGACAAATGAACCCTTGGTAGAACTCTCATTCCCCATCTTCAACTGGTTTCAGAGCAGAGGAGGCCACAATTGTCTTATGTTCCTAAAAGCTATTTATCAGTTTCTATATTCTACATTATAAACCCTGCTAACCACACATTGTGTTGACAAGCAATAATTATTAGCTAACTACTAACTCTTAACTTCACCAAGGCCTACCCATTTATTTTAGTTAACTCCAATAAAGCTTATCTTTAACTAAAATCTTAGCTCCTCTAAAATCTATAAATTCCTTAAAGTTTATGTCTCACTCCCTCCCCAGACACGCCCAGCATGCCACAGGAGCAGGATTCCTCCCCAGAGACAATGAGGAAGATGAGTGGATGCTCCATAAACAACAAGCAGAGCAGCCCAGGTGAGCACAAGGAGATGGACGGGGACGGCGGCGGCAGCTTCATCGCCGGAGTCTTCCTCCAGGCCAAGAGGAAGAGGCTGAGCATCCACGAGGCCATGGTGAGGGGCATGCTGAGCCCGGGCACGGCGCTGGTGCTGCTGGAGGCGCAGGCGGCCTCGGGCCTGCTCACGGACCCGGGCAGCCCCGCGCGGCTCTCGGTGATGGAGGCGCTGGCTCGGGGGCTCATTGGCCACGACTTCTACGAGAAGCTGCTGTCGGCCGAGGGAGCCGTGACCGGGTACACAGAGCCCTACACGGGCCGCAGGATCTCCCTGTTTCAGGCCATGCAGAAGGGGCTGATCGTCAGGGACCACGGCGTCCGCCTGCTGCAGGCCCAGATCGCCACCGGCGGCATCATCGACCCCACAAGCGGCCACCGTGTACCCGTGGAGGTGGCCTACAAGCATGGCTTCTTCGATGAAGAGATGAGCCAGATCCTTTCCAACCCCGAGAATCAAACAAGGACTTGCTTCGACCCCAACACCCACGAGAACCTGACCTACCTGCAGCTGCTGCGCCGCTGCGTGCCCGACCCGGACACGGGGCTGCTGATGCTGCAGCTGATGGACAAGGGCTCCGTGCTCTACCAGCTGAGCGAGGATGCCCGCCGAGCCCTGCAGGCCGCCCGCACCACGCTGGCTGTGGGGCTCTTCCAGGGCCAGAGCGTCACCGTCTGGGAGCTCCTCTTCTCCCGCTACGTCCCTGAGCACCAGAGAGAGGAGCTGCTCAGGAGATACAAGGCGGGGGCAGTGAGCATTGCACAGATGATCGAGGTCCTCACTGCCACCATCACAGCGGCAGAAAGGGACAGCGGGGTTCTGGGCTCACCCACAGCCAAGCCCAACAATGAGGCGAGGGCGTCACCCCCAGCTCAGGACACGCAGGCCCAGGAGCAGCAGCTGAGGAAGTCCCTCAAGTCCATGACGGTCCGTGTTACTGCTGGGGAGTTCCAGGGGCAAAACGTGTCTGTGCTGGACCTGCTCTTCTCCAGATACGTCCCCCAGGACAAGCGTCAGGAGCTGCTGGAGCTGTACAGGGCAGGGATACTGAGCACGGAGCAGGTGGGCGCCGTGGTCACCACCATGGTGAACCGGACAGAGGCCACGAACGCTGCGCGGGTGGTGAACACCAGGGGCACACACAGGGCAGTGCCAGCGGCTGGGGAGGGTGCAAAGGATTGTTCAGAACACCTGGATGAGACCCTGAGGTGCACCACCATCAGTGTGCCGGCTGGGGAGCTGCAGGGACAGCAGGTGTCCCTGTGGGACCTGATCTTCTCCGATTACAACCCCGAGGAGAAGAGGGAGGAGCTGCTGGACCTGTACCATGAGAGGTTATTAACTCTGGAGCAGATGACAACTGTTGTCAGCACTCTGATTAGGAAAAAAGAATCTGCAGGCAGGAAATTGCACATCACAGTCAAGAGTTCCAGCAAGGACCCCATGACAGCAGCAGGAGAGGAGGGTGATGACAAACCTCCCAGAGAGGAAGCCTGGAAAACAACCCTGAAAACCACAATGGTCCACGTGGAGGCTCCAGAGTTCCAGGGCAGGGAGGTGTCCCTGTGGGACCTGCTGCACTCCCGCTACATCCCCCAGGAGAACAGGAGGGAGCTGCTGGAGCTCTATGAGGCAGGAGAGCTGAGCCTGGAGCAGGTGAGGACCGTTGTCACCACCATTGTCACCAGGACAGCAGCTGCAGAGAGAGCAGAGTCTGTGAGTGGTGCCAGGGCAGAGCCGGTGGCCACAGAGGCTGAACCCACGGCCCTGGATGGGGATGGGGCCTGGGAGGAGACCCTGAAGGCCACCAGAGCCGAGGTGGCAGTGGGGGAGTTCCAGGATGGACAGACTTCCTTGTGGGACCTGCTCTTCTCTGATTACATCCCCGAGGAGAAGCGTCAGGAGCTGCTGGAGCTGTACCGTGGGGGAACACTGCCCTTGGAGCAGTTAATCCTTGTGGTCACCACTCTCATCAAGAAAAATGAATCTGCAGGCAGGAAATTCCAAATTTCAGTCAAGAGTTCCAACAGGGATCCTGTGACAGCAGCAGGAGAGGAGAGAGACCACCATCCCAAAGAGGAAGCCTGGAAAACAACCCTGAAAACCACAATGGTCCACGTGGAGGCTCCAGAGTTCCAGGGCAGGGAGGTGTCCCTGTGGGACCTGCTGCACTCCCGCTACATCCCCCAGGAGAACAGGAGGGAGCTGCTGGAGCTCTATGAGGCAGGAGAGCTGAGCCTGGAGCAGGTGAGGACCGTTGTCACCACCATTGTCACCAGGACAGCAGCTGCAGAGAGAGCAGAGTCTGTGAGTGGTGCCAGGGCAGAGCCGGTGGCCACAGAGGCTGAACCCACGGCCCTGGATGGGGATGGGGCCTGGGAGGAGACCCTGAAGGCCACCAGAGCCGAGGTGGCAGTGGGGGAGTTCCAGGGCACACAGACATCCCTGTGGGACCTGCTCTTCTCTGAGCATATCCCCGAGGAGAAGCGTCAGGAGCTCCTGGAGCTGTACCGTGGGGGGACCCTCCCCATCCAGGAGCTGCTCAGCACCACCAGCAGCCTGGCCAGCCAGAGCCTGGAGCAGCACCTGAGGGCCCTCCCCGCGCACACCATGGACCTGCTGCGCTCCGAGGGCTCCTACATCACCTGTGACCCGGCCCAGGAGCGCCGGGTGTCCGTGTGGGAGCTGCTCTCCTCCAAGCAGGTGTCCGAGTACAAACGGGAGGCGTGTCTGGACACCTACCCTTCGGGAGGGCTGACGGTGAACAGGATCACCATCACCACCACCATCACCACTGGGCCCCGGCTGGAGCAGAGCCGGCCCCGGCACCACTGACCGAGATCCCGGCACAGCAGGGTCCTCTTGGGTCCCTCCGTGTATCCCAACACTGACCAAGATCCCAGCACAGCAGGGTCCTGGTATCCACTGGGACTTTGTTCCTCATGTCCTTCTGTGTGTCCTACCACTGACCGAGATCCCAGCACAGCAGGGTCCTAAGATCCAGTGGGACTTTGTTCCTCATGTCCCTCTGTGTGTCCCACCACTGATTATGATCCAGACACAGCAGGGTCCTGGGCACCCGTGGGACTTTGCTCTTCATGTCCCACTGTGTGTCCCACCACTGACTGAGACCCCAGCGCAGCAGGGTCCTGAGATCAGTGGGACTTTGCTCCTCGTGTCCCTCTGTGTGTCCCACCACTGACCGTGATCCCGGCACAGCAGGGTCCTGGGTACTCGTGGGGCTTTGCTCCTCGGGTCCCTCCGTGTGTCCCTGTGGTAACAAACCCATGTGTGGGGCGGGGTGGGGCTCGGATAAACTCCTGCTGTCTCACCTGGCTGTGCTGGATGTGGGATGTGCTGGATGTGGGATGTGCTGGATGTGGGATGTGCTGGATGTGGGGCTGGGATAAACTCCTGTTGTCCCACCCCTGGATGTGCTGATGTGGGATGTGCTGATGTGGGATGTGCTGATATGGAGCTCGGATAAACTCCTGCTGTCTCATCTCTGGCTGTGCTGAGATTTCTTTTGCCCGGCAGAGCTTTCCCAGAGGGGACTGGGGGGTGTCCAGGAGCCTTGACCCCCATGTCACTGCCCAGAGGGTGGCACAGATGGTGGCACTGCAGCCTCTATGTCACTGCCCCAAGGGTGGCACTGCAGCCCCCGTGTCACTGCCCCAAGGGTGGCACTGCAGCCACTGTGTCACTGCTCTGAGGGCAGCACAGATGGAGACACTGCGGTCCCTGTGTCACTGCCCTGAGGGTGGCACTGCGGTCCTCATGTCACCGCTCCGAGAGTGGCACAGATGGTGGCACTGCAGCCCCCGTGTCACTGCCCTGAGGATGGCACAGATAGTGACACTGCAGCCACTGTGTCGCTGTTCCAAGGGTGACACTGTGGCCCTCGTGTCACTGCCCTGAGGGTGGCACTGTGGTCCCCGTGTCGCTGCCCCCAGGGTGACACAGACGGTGACATTGTGGCCCCCGTGTGACCGCTCTGAGGGTGTCACTGCAGCCCCCGTGTCACCGCTCCTGGCACGGACAGGGCGCTGCGGGCTCCAGGACACGCGGGGGGCTGCGGGATGGGGACAGGGGGCTCAAAACCAGGGCGGGGAGGGATCTGCAGGGACCCGGTGCCACTGCAGCCTGTCCGGGGCTGGCAGGGTTCCGGAGACTAGGTGCCACCTGAGGGAGGCTGGTAGAGCTCCAGATGGCTCCGGGGACTCGGTGCCGCTCCTGCACGGGGCTGGCACAGCTCCGGATGGCTCTGCAGGGACCCGGTGCCACCCGAGGTTGGCAGGGCTCCGGATGGCTCTGCAGGGACCCGGTGCCACTCCTGCCCGAGGCTGGCACAGCTCCGGACGGCTCCGGATGGCTCCGGATGGCTCCGGGGACTCGGGCTGCCCTCCCACAGGAAGCGCCGCATTTCCAAAAAAAGCGGCTGAAAGAAAACAGGAGGTTTTGAGAGCCGAGAGTTGAAAGCAAACAGGAGGTTTTGAGAGCCGGGAGCTGAAAGCAAACAGGAGGTTGTGCGAGCCGGGAGCGGAATACATTTGCATAGTTACGAGCTCGTTGCATAACGGGAGGGATGGAGCGGCTCCGAACGCTCCGGGGCACAGGGAGGTTGGACAGGGACCCCATCCCTGCGGGAATGTGGCACCGACCCCATCCCATGGGAATGCGGCACCGACCCCATCCCTGCGGGAATGTGGCAGTGCAGGGGCCCCATCCCATGGGAATGCGGCACCGACCCCATCCCTGCGGGAATGTGGCAGTGCAGGGACCCCATCCCTGCGGGAATGTGGCACCGACCCCATCCCTGCGGGAATGTGGCAGTGCAGGGACCCCATCCCATGGGAATGTGGCACCGACCCCATCCCATGGGAATGCGGCACCGACCCCATCCCTGCGGGAATGCGGCACTGACCCCATCCCTGCGGAAATGTGGCATTGCAGGGACCCCATCCCTGCCGGAATGTGGCACCAGAAAACGCCTTGGCTCCGTGGTACAGGAGTGGGGTGACAGAGAAAGCTCCGGGACGGGACCTGAGCTGCTGGAAAAGGAACGGGAAAGCAGCAAATCCCAAACCGTGCCCACGGGCATGGTGGGACAGCAGAGGGAGTGCCCACAGCGGCTCTGCCTGCGGAATGATCAGAGTCATGGAGCCATGGAAGAGTTTGGCAGGGCCGGCAGGGCCCTGCCAGACCAGCAGGGCACTCCTGGGGCCACCAAGACGCTCCCAGAGCCACCAGGGCACTCCCAGGCCAGCCCTGCCCTCCTTTTCCTGCAGCCCTCAACGTTCCCGTGTGTCCCAGCCCATTTTCTCACGTGCCAACCCCTCCATCAGCCCGAGCAGAGCCACTCCTGGTCCCTGATAAGGCTGCCCTGGGCGGTTTTATCTCCCTGCACATCTGTCCTGAGCAGCTGCTCCTGCTCAGCTCCTCCCTCAGATCTGCCTCTGCCCCTGCTGCACGCCTGGGGCACACAGAGCCCTGCCTGGCACCCTCTGCCCCTCTGGAAATGCCTCCAGGGGCAGGAGAGCAGCCAGGTGTTGGGGAAGATGAAACAGGAAAGCCTTATAAATATGATTGTCTGGCAAAAGATTTTGAGAATATGGAAACCATCAGTGAGATTGAAATGAAAACAAGCTCTGAGATACCTCAGTTGTTGAACAAGTGGAAAACAATGGCATGGCCAGCTGAAGGTGGTCCGCTTTTGATGGAACAACACCCTCTGCTTGCAGACAGGCCCAAGGGTCAGAGCAGACCCTACAGCTTGGCAGAAGGGGCCCAAAGAGGAGTTTTTAGGGTTTAAAATGTAATACAGTGCAGTAATGTAATGATTCTTATAGGCTGTATGGAAATGCTATAGGATTTGTATCTTGTACGAGATTGGTGAGTGAGAATCAGAATATTCAACACAGAAGAAGATTTATTGTATTGTAACAGGAACCTCGCTCACTTAGCTCTTGCCTTTTACTCTCTTACCCCTTTTACTCTCTCACCCTCTCATCCTCTCTCCCCCTCTCCTCTCTCAGGCCTGCTCTGGGCTGTGGCTGCAGCTCCCAGCAGGGCCCTGCACCCAGGCCCTCTGCAATAAACCCCAAATCCCAGCAGGGCCCCGCACCCAGGCCCTTTGCAATAAACCCCAAATCCCAGCAGGGCCCTGCACCCAGGCCCTTTGCAATAAACCCCAAATCCCAGCAGGGCCCCGCACCCAGGCCCATTGCAATAAACCCCAATCCCAGCAGGGCCCTGCACCCAGGCCCTTTGCAATAAACCCCAAATCCCAGCAGGGCCCCACACCCAGGCCCTTTGCAATAAACCCCAAATCCCAAAAGGTCCCTGCACCCAGGCCCTTTGCAATAAACCCCAAATCCCAGCAGGGCCCTGCACCCAGGCCCATTGCTATAAACCCCAAATCCCAGCAGGGCCCTGCACCCAGGCCCATTGCAATAAACCCCAATCCCAGCAGGGCCCTGCACCCAGGCCCTGTGCAATAAACCCCAAATCCCAGCAGGGCCCTGCACCCAGGCCCTTTGCAATAAACCCAAAATCCCAGCAGGACCCTGCACCCAGGCCCTTTGCAATAAACCCCAAATCCCAGCAGGGCCCTGCACCCAGGCCCTGTGCAATAAACCCCAAATCCCAGCAGGGCCCTGCACCCAGGCCCTGTGCAATAAACCCCAAATCCCAGCAGGGCCCTGCACCCAGGCCCATTGCAATAAACCCCAAATCCCAGCAGGGCCCTGCACCCAGGCCCATTGCAATAAACCCCAATCCCAGCAGGGCCCTGCACCCAGGCCCTGTGCAATAAACCCCAAATCCCAGCAGGGCCCTGCACCCAGGCCCTCTGCAATAAACCCAAAATCCCAGCAGGGCCCTGCACCCAGGCCCATTGCAATAAACCCCAAATCCCAGCAGGGCCCTGCACCCAGGCCCTTTGCAATAAACCCAAAATCCCAGCAGGGCCCTGCACCCAGGCCCTTTGCAATAAACCCCAAGTTCCACGACCTGGCTGCAGAGATCTTTCATCTCCGTCTGTCCTGACCGTCCTACCCCCCGTGAATCCTACAGCCAGGACCCCGTTCCCCTGATGCCACATCCCCCTGGGGCTGCTAAGCCCACCCACCCTGTCCCTCCTGGTCACCCCCATGCCACGGGCTCCGTGCTCAGCTGTTTGTCCAGGGGCTGTGTGTGCAAACCCAGGGCACACAGGGAATATTTCTGTGTCTGTTTTGGGGCGTCCTAACCCCCAGGGCAGCACTGACTTTTGTTGGGAAGGGTGAAAGTTTGACAGGAAAGTCTCTCAGACATGTATGCTTAGCAGAAAGATTTTTAAATGTTGAGTCTGATGAAGGAATAGAGATGGAAGCAAGTTTTGATATAGAAGAAAAGAATTGTTGAGCCAGTCTTACTGGATAACCAAGGAGGCAAAGGGTGTGTTAGTTAGAAGGGGTTTTTATGCCTTAGAACAAAGGATAAACCCACCTCAAACAAGATGTTTTCACCAAGCAGAAAGAACACAGGCAAACAAGTCAGCAAAGTTGCAAGTAGAAAAAAGGTCTCAGAATTTTCCACTGCAAGAAAACTGAAAAACAGCTTCTAGCTTAAACTATAATGTACTAACTTTTAGTGATTGGAGAACAGTAACATGAATATAGTAATTACAGTAGTTATGATAGGCTGTAGATAAAAGTTAAGGTATAGATTGGTTCTACTGTATTAAGATGCTCAGCAAAGAAAAGTCTATAATGCATTGTATCCAAAAGAAAAGTATCTAATACATTATAACCAAAACCAAAGGGTCTCCAGGCCTGCCTGCAGCTGGAGCTGAC